CCCGAAAACTAATTGGCAGCCAGTGGAGTTACTTTAGGATAGGTGTAATATGCTCACTCCTAGATGTTCCTGTAACCAATCTGGCTGCCGTATTATGAACCAACTGGAACTTCCAAAGTTGGTACAAGGGTAGCCCAATGTAAAGTGAACTGCAGAAGTCCAATCTTAAGGTTACCAGTGTGTGCACTTACCATCTTCAGGTCCTCCAAATCTAGGAAGAGGCGTAGCTTGTTATCCACTTCTTAGATATTCACACTGCATAATTATTTGATGCACAATCTCCCATTTCTGTCCACTTTGGCTCACTTACCCCAAGTATTGCGATGTTTATACTTTCCAGATATTACAAAGAGACATTTTCCTGCAGTATCACCCCCCCCGCATCCACATACATACACACACACACACTAGTGCTACTTCCCAGTCTCTTCATGCCACATGCCAGAATATACACCATAATTCAAAATACCAGGAGTCACAAGCAAATGTGGGAAACAGCAAGTGATAGTTATCAACATCCAAAGGTGTTCACCATGGTAGCTTCCAGAAAATCCTGTGGTTTGATGATGGCACATGTTCAAATTGTTATATGTTATACCATGTTGTCTGAAAAGTATCCTTAACTGTTTGAACTCATGTTACTGTTTGGATACCAGTATGACATTGGCTTTGGCCTTGGACTCCATTCCTGAAGATCATTAATTCTGAATTTTGCTTGGATGACTACTTCAAAGCCACGCAGCTATAAAGGATTTAGTATTGTGGAAATAAAAAAAGAATCCAACACATTATGAGACATAGCATCACTTCCTGGGGCAGACTAGTATTTATGCAGAGACTGCATAAATACACTGTAGAATTAGAAATACATTGAAGTGTATGCATTTACTCCTAGGTGATCTTTGTTTTTTGAGATTTGTTTTCTAACAAAAGTGTGGTTGCTTTGTTAAGGACCCTGTTCTTTTTTCTGGAACACTCCGTATGAATTTGGATCCCTTTAATAAATATTCTGAAGACGAAATATGGCAAGCTCTTGAACTCTCCCATTTGAAGAGGTTTGTCAGCGCTCAGCCAGCTATGCTGGACTACGAATGCTCAGAAGGAGGAGAAAATCTTAGGTAATTGAAATAATCTTCAAGAATAGATATTCAAAAGAAATCTTATCCAGTAACGTTATACACCAGAATATTGCCACATAAAGTGTGTATGATGCCAGGCAATTTATTCTTTTATTATAGAGTTTAGAATCTGTTCTCATTGGGATATTTAGATGTCATTTAGTACTTCAAAGTTGTTGCTCCTCTCCAAAAGAGACCTTTTTAAAGCCAGGAAATAAACTGGAAGTTGGCTTTGTTTTATAAAAAGATGTTTGCTGAACCCAAAATAGCCCACAAAATCCCTAAAACATGGTGAAATTATTCCTCGTGCCCCTTAATGTGTGTGGGAGGACATTTGACCTTCCACCCCAAAATGTTTTAAAATGTTGTGGTTGTGAAGCATCGCATAAAATATAACATTTTGAGTCCCAGTTGTAAGGGGGAAGCAATGCACACACATCCCTTGCCACTTGTCTACTCCAGGTGAGAACCTCAGTCACTCACAAGCATTGACTAAAAAGGGATTTTGCAACAATGCCAGAGCCTTGATGTGCTTCCTGCTTTGAAAAACTAAACTAAACATCCCCATCTGTCTTTTTCCAGTGTAGGCCAAAGACAACTTGTTTGCTTGGCAAGAGCCCTCCTGCGCAAAACACGGATCCTTGTTTTGGATGAAGCCACAGCAGCCATTGACCTCGAGACAGATGATCTCATTCAGATGACAATAAGAACACAATTTGAGGACTGTACTGTGCTGACAATAGCACACAGGCTGAACACGATTATGGATTATACCAGGTAGCTATATATCTTTTTTTTTTCATGTGTCCCCAGAGATGGGGTTTCCAAAATGCTCCGTGGAATGCTATTTCATAACGTCCTTCTCACCACCTCAAAATAGATTTACCAAAAGAGAGCTCACAATTAATTCTATCAAATCAGTTAAACAGGTTTAAAAGTCTTTGGTTCCCGTTTGGAACATATCTTTATGGAGCTTTTGTGAGAGATCAGTTACATCATATCTTCTGTCAGCTTTACTGTCACAGAGAGATTATTTGTGTTACCCAAGCAGAAACATGAAACTTAATTAAGTTTCATAGTCCTGTTTCTTTTGTTATGGTGCACCTAGTACTGCTAGAATTTATCCTGGTTAATTCATTTGTTCATTTTCTTATGTTATTGTAAGGTGGTTTTCAAAAAGGTTTTATTTCTAGTGATATACCAGGAAGTAGCTTTACAGGTCAATTTGTCTCAAATGACAGATGAGAACGAGTGCATCTACCTGTAAGTTTGCACATCGGCTTGCCCCTATTCATTGGAAATATGGAGTTTTTATTCCTAAAAAAAGATGGCACTGCTCTTGTATGTGTGCAGCATGCCTCACCAAAGTGCAGCAGAACATTCTGTAAAGAGGAAGAATTATTGGTCCTTTTCCTGCAAAGAGGCAAGAGTTAATTAGAGAAGTGCAGGAGGAGCCAACACATTCACAATACTGCAACTGGGCATATAGGAACCCCACTAATAATAATAAGGCCCTTGTTCTTCACTTGCATCCAAGTCATTTATCATGTAATTCAGATGAATACAGAGAGGCTGTCTAAAGTCACTATAGACAGAACTAGAATTCACTGGCCAATAGGATTCAATTCTTTCTGCAAGTGAAGCTTTTTTGGGAAAATCTTTAGAAACTTGCCACAGCTATTCATTTTCATGCACCTCTGATTTGCAGAATTGGGTTTGTTTCTACATATAGTCTCTTGAAGCAATTCCTGATATCTTAGTTTTCTGGGCATGGGGCTGAGGAATGGTTTCGCCAGAGGACCTTAACATATATATAAGAACAGTGGCTAGTGCTTAGATTCAGTTTGCTATGTGTGTCAACTATAAACAGTCATGTTCAATTTCAATGCTGTTCATGATTTTTCTAATCTGTTATCTTAGAAGTCTCTTTAAAATATGAAGAGATGAGGGGATTCGCTGTGAATCTTAGAGCTACTAAAGTTAACAGTCTTGTAGTGGTGCAGGTTTTGAATACTTACCTATCAGATAGCTTTTCAGAAATGTATTTTTTAGAAAAGTAAACAAACATTTTCCCTTTGTTTTGCAGAGTCCTCGTTCTAGACAAAGGAGCAATTGCCGAATTTGACACACCGTCAAGACTCATAGAATCCAAAGGGATTTTCTATGGCATGGCCAAAGATGCTGGACTGGCATAACAAGCTGATCAGTTCTATCAAAGGACTTGTTACTGGACTGCTGTTTTTTTATCCAAAAGCAATACCTGAATGTACTGTACTTTTTAAAACAGCATTTCTACCAAATTACAAAAAAAATGTTTCATATGCTTGTGAAAACTGAAAATTTAATTTTATATTTTTAAATGCATTTTCTATACTCTGAAGTATTTTTTTAATTGACAGATCAGGAAATGGGAAGTGTGTGTGTAGTGTTGATGTATGAATAGCAATTGACTATATTCCATTTTATTTTTAGTAAAATACATCTAGTTGTATAAAACATTTGAGTCTTATTATTCTGAATCAATCTTCTCTTTTAATGCAAAGAATCCAAGGAAGGTGTTACTGTAATCTGATATTAATCAAGATATTTTTGTCAGTGAAAGTCCCACGGACAAAAGAGGTTTTGCATTTTCTGACTGAGAGAATGTGGTGTAATTCTGACAGAAGGAATCCCATAAAAAGGGTCAATATCAAAAGCTCTCATTTCCCTAATCCATCTGTGGGATCTCACAAATGGGAGAAAACTGGATTTGTATTCCTGGAAAAGGGATTTTTCTGCCAAGCATCTTACTGGAAAGACTTGAAATTATGCATACATTTGACTAACCTGGAATGTCTGTCTTGAGTGAGAACCAAAGGACCTCAAACAATGGTTATTTAAGAACCTCACATTGTGATTTCAGCTCATAGTTGCGAGAAGAGCAATAAGGGATAGGATGTATAGAGTTTGCAAGGTTGGACACCAGTACCTTAAATGTAGGCTAAAAAAATAACTAGCAGTTGTTTTGTTGTTCCCATGAAAAACTTTGTGTAGCTTTTTTTAGCAGAAATATTCATATTAATTCAGCATATTCTAGACCAGTGGTTCCCAACTCATGGGTTGCGACCCCCAATGGGGTCATGAAGGGTTTTCTGTGGGGTTGCGGGGCAGCTATGAAAAAAAATTAAGCGAAAACAAAAAAAACTTGTCATCATGTCCCACATAGAGATTTGTTTGCGTAAAAGTGTAATGATCTTTTGTTCACTGGGTTAGCTTGATGTGAGGTTCATGTGCAGTTTGGCAACTGACTCTACAGAATGCGGACGCTGATTGGATCGCGATTGGTCAATTCCTAGGGACACATGGACACTGAGTGCCTAGCCTTGTTTCTTGCAGGTGGCAACAGTTTTTCTTCAATAACAGTGAATTCTGCAAAACAGTATAAATCGTATGTCGACACAAATTGAAAGATCCTACTTCCAGGAACCTGAGGCCCAGCACATCACATTATTTCCTTTCTTTGGCCAACGAAGAGCAATCCATAAGCCAAGGAGTGCTGTAAAGTCCCGACACCATAGTTGTCACTGTGGCAGTGCCAACAGCTCTAATTTTTAATGTATCAGGGTCACGGATCACCTATTTTTAATGTATCGATGTTGTGGGTCAATTTGTCTCTACAAAATGGAGTCACAACTCGAAAAAGTTTGGGAGCCACTATTCTAAACCACCTAATGTTCATCAGTTCCATAGGAGTAAGTTACTAGGGCACAGAAAATGGGGGGGGGGGTCTAAAATGCTAATTCCAAATGGAATGGCTAGTTCCCCTAATAAAGACAGTGCACATCAAACATTTTTGAATGTTCTGGGAGAAATCTGCTAGGGGAAAAAATCCAAATTTTCACATTTAAAGGCAACAACATTTTATTAATTGTAAAAAGGGTAAAACACATTGGAAACAAGTATCATAGACTTGGATCATTTGGTTAATTCTTCATTTTCACCATTTTATTTATGTAGTAATGCAGGATGTTGTGAATCCTTTAGATCCACTGATATTAGAAAGAACTACACAGTTGTTATTAGGTTAATAATTTGGTTAGCAAAGCTAATAAAATCCTCTGTTATAAATTGCATAAGTTATACAATATAAAAATATTCCTCTGAGTGCATAGAAAGATGCCAGCAACTGTGCAGTGTGATCAACAGACCTGTAGTTTGTTCATTAATATTATGGCTAATCAACAGATCACATCTGTTTCTCCACATTTTTGGATTCTTGCAGATATCTATGTCTGAATGAGAATCCAGAAATATTTCAATTGCGGTCGAACATGGAGCGAACCACTGAATCTGTGCTCAATTACAGCTTCCCTCCTTTAAGAGTTTGTCCTCAAAGGTACTGGAATTTCTAACACAAATATTATAGCAAAAATCCTGTTTCCATTCAGTCCCTCATAGGGCAACTGACAATATACAGTACACTTAATTTAGACACACACTTGAGTGTGTTGCAAAAACAGAAAACAGATGCATTTTCCAAGAGCCAGTCCTGAACCTTATCAACCCTAAGCAAAAAACAGCCAAACTTTTGTTCCAGGAATAAGGACAGTGGCAATATTTTCATATTTTCATCTGTAATCAGTTAGCATTTTCCCTCAACCCTCCAGCAATTCTGATCAGACTTTAACTCTCCCCTCCACCCCAAATCCTGATCAAGATTGTTAGGGTGGAATAGGGACGCTTTGTTTTGCACCTGTTGCAGAAGTACTTACATCAGTATGACTGATGGGGGGGGGGGGGACGACTTTAACTGTGCCCAGAGGAGTTTACTTCTGCCCAGACAATATCTTATCAATTCAGAGGCAGAAAAGATTGCGCTACATGGAGCTTCTGGGCTACGAGTTGCTTACATGGGAATTAAATTAATCCTCATATGGAGTCTTATAGTGACACAATTATCCAGCACCACAAAACGAATGTGCTGTCACAGACTGCTCCTGTTTCATTATGCATATTTTAAGCCCTATACTAAAGTACAAAACTTAAAAGTCAAATCTTAGGGCATTAGACATGTCAGTGTACTACGCTCTGTACCAGGAAGATAGCTATCTTAGTTCTATGAAGTCAAGTGACAAAAGACAACCATCTAATTTAAGAAATTGGTGGCAAAATCAAGAGATTGTTAGATTATCTATCAGTATCCTCTGTCTACATAAACAAGGAGCTGTGAGCATGATTTCGGTCATATACCCTGACTATCTTGGATTGTCGCAAATCACTTGGTGTCTTCTGTGATTTCCAGTCACCACGGATAACAATGATACTCCTACTGTTTAACTATGGCATCTGTGATGAGTCCGATCACTTACAATTTTGCTACTTCTTAACTTTTGAAACAAAGTATCTTATTTCAACACTTTTACTTTATCTTTAGGTTATAAACCATTTAAATACTTATAGTATCAATGCAAATATTTTCATAATACTAATAATTCATGTGTTATTTAGATGCTAATTTCAAATATATTGCCTGAACATAGAGTGATTGTTCATAACTATGTTGTCAGCTCTGAACTCTCTTCCATGAAACTACAGCTCAAATTTTAAAGACAGAGCTTAGCATTCTGCAGTTAATTAATCACAGTAATTCTTCAGTACAATTTTCAAGCACTATCCAAATGGGGACAAGCAATAGGATGAGTCACTGACACTAACTGACATTTGATACAAAATCTACTTGTCAAAACAATACTATTTGAGTAGTTAACGTTTGAGTGTTAACATATCTGGAAACTACATATGAGAGGAGAATCGGGCTAAAATACTGCTAGAACTAGGCAAACATTGCTAAATAGCACAAGATGATATTGGAATTCAAATGTACAGACTAGTATTCCTTTTCATTCTGTCCTTTACAGAGTCTAAAAATGATAGGAAAGAATATAATAAAGTCTGCCTCCATAGGTTTGTTTGGATAAATAAATTCTAGAGCAGTGGTTCTCAACCTGGGGTCCCCAGATGTCTTTGGCCTTCAACTCCCAGAAATCCTAACAGCTGGTAAACTGGCTGGAATTTCTGGGAGTTTTGGGCCAAAAACATCTGGGGACCCCAGGTTGAGAACCACTGTTCTAGAGGATCATGGCCACTGACCTGTTTTGCCAGTGAGCCACTCTGAGGAGCAGTAGTCATGGGAGCAATAGTTACAGATAACAGAATGACAGATGTACACACCTTAACTTAATGCAGAAATCCAGTACTAGAGGCTTCCTTCTCCCTACTCTGATTGCTCAAGCACCAGAGAGAAGAGGGAGACAAATAAAAATGGTGAGCACCCCCAACTGGGAATAGTTTCTCAGCCCCTTTCAGTCCTTGAAGATTCCAATCTTTGGATAGACTGTGTAGACAGCTGCTATATATTAGTCCCAACTGTGATGGATGAAATTGCCTCCCTAGACCATTCATCAGTTAGCAGAAACAGGATAAAAACAGTATTCTAGCCGAAAGATTTAAATCTGTATTTCATTACCATTGCCAAGAACGTATAATAGGCTATTTTCTTCCTGTTCTGTGCAAACATGAGAATGTTAATGCAATTTTCTGACACTTCATATTTTGAGGCTTCGGGGAAATTCATTTGTACAAAAACACATAGGATTTTTGCACAAATACCATGCATGTAATTTCTGTGAAAAGGAAGTGTTTTGTGCAAAAACTGGACTTTGCATAGAATGCACTGATCATTGTGCAGAAAAAAACACATTTTCTGTCCCTATGCAGAAAATATTTGCACAATTTGAGTAAATGTATACTATTTACAAAAACTTACTCATTCTATCCATTTTCTGCACATGTGTATGCATATACACAGCATACGTATTTTGTGCAAATGAATTTCCCCAAAGTCCTAAAGTGCCAAGAGTCATGTTACTGATCTCCTTTCCTTGTGTGCTTGGATATACTTGTTTTCATTGAAGATATGAATACTAATAAATATCATTCATATCCTTATTCTGATCACAGACCTTTCCTCATAAAGTTCACAAGGAGCAGCAGTTCTGGCAAATGGCTTTCCACAAGATGTGTCCCAAAAGTATTCCTATGGGCGCAAATGCTGCATCAAAATCCACCTTAAGTCTGTGGGGATGGCTGTGGGAAATAACATGTTATTCAAAAAGTTCTGGCCCAGAACTAGGATCACAATGCTTTGTCCAAAACTGCAGGTTAAAAACACTGACAGGTAGACACCCACATTAGCCACTGAATACTTTTTTATGTTCATTCCAGGTTTCCTAGCAGTAGTCCATCAGACTGTAATTAAAGTAAACAACTTCTTCAACTAGTATACAGAATGCTAAAATTATATAAACCACTAATTATTTCAAAATGTTATTACATTCCATGCTTTTCCAGAATGTTTACTCTATGACCCGACAGCAGATTATTTATGTAAACTTGAACTAAAAAAGATTAAAAGCTGGACATGCTTATAAGAAATGCAAACAAGTCTGTCAAAAGTGCATAGAAATTTCAAGATGTTAGCTTAATTATCTTGGTACTAAAAGTACTCCTGCTTTTTAAAAAGTGATATTATTTTTCCCTAAATAGGAAATGGTTTCAAAACTGGAGAAGAGATAACATACAAGGTAGGGCAGGGGTAAGAGATTCAATCAGCAATCAAAATATTGTTGGATTGCAAGTCCATCCGGACAGCCAACTGTGAAGAGTGCTGGGAGTTGTGGTCCAACAACATCTGGAGGGCTGTCCAATTCCCACTCTGGAATAAAGGCTGAGGAGAATTGTGCTCAGTCCATGGGTGGCTTCAGGCTGTCCTGACCAGTTACCATCCTATCACCCTTTGGGAAACCCCTTAATAAATTGAAACAAAAAGCAAAAACATAAAAATACCTCAACACCACCAGATACTGCCAATCATTCGATACTGTTTACTGACAAGCAGTTCATAAGTTAGACATACATATACATATCCTAAGTGTTTTTGATCAACACTATAGTTACCGTTTCTATTAATATAGTAGATTCAAATATTTGAGCACCATTCTGAAGAATCACAGCTAGTTTATCCACTTGGGTAAATTATTTTTTAAACCAGCCAAATATAAAGGTTGTGCTTATGTCAGCAATTCAAGATGTGCTTCTAAAAAGACTGAGTGTAGCTGGAACTGACATGTCCAGCATTCTGTGCTGAGCATTTAGGAAAGTTACTTTTTGGACTGCAACTCCGAGATTCCCCAAGCCAGTATGACCACTGGCTATGCCAGATGGAGGATTCTGGAAGTTGTCATCCCAAGTATCTTCCTCCCTCTCCCCTCCCCCCAATTTTGCCTTGCCACTATGTACTTTTGAGAGACATGACTTGTTCCAATAGGGTCAAGGCCAGGATGCACTCTTGACACATCCCTACCTATAACAACCCTGCCAATCCGGCCTGGTCCTCCTCACGTGGAAATGTGGAGAAATAAATCCCAGTTACACACATATATAAAAGGCTCTTCCCAAAAGGATGGTCTGTTAGCGTAACTCAGAATTCCCTTACTACTCTACACCAAAGCAACTATTGTATACGAGTCCTTACTCTCTCCCTTCCCTGTAAAAATAGCTTATTCCACTCACATCTTGCTCATTTAACTCTAGTTCAACATTTTGGGGGTTTCTGCATATTAAGCATCCAATTAGAAGCTTTACATGCATCCCAGGTTCTGTCTTCCAACATAACTGTCCCTGTTCTTTTTAGTCAGTAGCAATTATTAGAACAATTTAAGTCTTTCCCTGAGACTTCTAACTCGGCAGCATTCTGGGAAGACATCATTCCCTTACAAGAATCACGGCTGCGTGACATGAGGCAATCTTCTGTCACTGCTTAGTATTCTACCCCAGAACATTATCTGACTGCCAGTTCATTCAAAGATTAATGGCAGACACTTCAAATATGACATCCTTATGTGAAGTGCAATCAACTAAAAACATTTCCAGCTGCTTGCAGATGAACTTGCTTCCAAGTAAGTATGCTCAATAGGTTAATGCTATTTTCCAAGTAACGTAGAATTTAAGGTGTACAGCCCTTACAAAATCCTAGGTTTAATAGTTACATATTGGAGAAGGTATTATTGTGACAACAATTAGTAAGTCAGTTTGGATGCTTTCTTATTATAACAAGGCCTTTCAGTCAACGGCGGTGCAGCATTTCTGAACAGGAATTCATTTTCACTCATCATTAGAACAAGCTCCAATTCCTGGAAATCTTGAAGCCTCGAGACATCTTTGTCCTTAAAGAAATAGATACAATTGATTTTAAAAATAATGTTCAGACACTCATATGTGGTATAAAGACCCCAGAATGGGACAATTTTCACTCATCTTTCTTTTATATTGCATAACGGGTTTTTTAAATCATTCAAATAAAGTTCTCTTTGCAAACCAGGCAGAACAGAGGTAGAAAATGAGTGGTCCATAAGCTGAAAAATGGAGAAACATTGCTCCATGAGCTTCTGGGAGCAGAATACAATTTTCCTAAACAAAGATGTACCCTCCTGCAGTTTTTTAAGCTCCAGGAGACCACATTTTAGATTTTGTCTGATGTACGAAGATGCAGTCCAAGGTGGAAAGAGCAACTAGGTGAGCAATAGTCCCTGGACTGTCTGTAGTCACCCAGCCCTGATAACGGCACAAAAGATAAAAATGCCAAACCCAAGGGAGGTTAATATATTTGGGGGAAGCTGTGTGGACTGTGCAGCAAAATACAACAAAATCCAAATCCACAAGTGTGATATTGACCAAGTAAAATACAGAAAATACATGATGTAAGTTTTCCTCTCTCGAAAATTCAGAACATATACTTCCACTCTCCAAAATGCATTTTAGAACAGGGAAGTATATGCAACTGCAACATTTTACCTGATAGCAGTAGAGTAAGAGCTGGGATAGCATAGGCTGCCCATGTAGTTAGGTTGCGCACACAGTCATTACTGGATTTAGTCCATTCCTAAACTGTTTTTTAAACTACATTCCAATTATTTTACTCTGGATCTAACTGAATCCTTAAATTCCTGTCCCAGGTTGGCAGCCTATGTTTTGAAGCTCTTTAAATGGTAATTGTCATAACAAGGGGATTAGAAGTTGAACTTCTTGCATAACAAGCATCTAAAAATATGGCAGAATGGCATATCCCATGCCACTATGCAACATTTCAAAAAACCATTGTCAAACTAATAGGCTTGCTGACTGATACCTTTAAGCTCTATTTTATACAGTGAATCTTACAAGTAAATGTGCACAGGATTACAACCTTAGCTTGACAAAAGAAGACAATCTTCACGTCTCACTTGCCATCCGTGATTCATTGCTCTAACTTTATTCACTGCCTCCTACTATTAGTGGTTTTTATAAAGGAGAAAAGGCATATGGTTTCATCTTCCTCCTTGCCATTACTTGATTTCCAGTGTGAATCAAATGTTCACACCAGAAATGTGAAATGCATTTAACTTCCTGTAGAAAACAACAAATACGTTCAAGCTTAAATAGCTTCAGTGCTGTTTGCTGCAAATGTACTAAAATTAATAATGGGTTCTGAATCCTGCTAAGGGAGAACAGATTTCATCTGCAAGGTCGGCTCTACTAGCATTATGGACGCTGGTGACTAAAGCCTACTCGATTTTATTTACTAATTCGCATAACAAATAAACTTACAATAGCGGGTTGTTAAAATGAAAGAGATCTTCCAAAGTTTTCAAAATAAAACAAGGGACAGTGTTTCGTGGGGTTTGAGAGACAATAGGGTGAGGAGGGCTGATCATCCAAGGATAAATTTGAATGAATGATGCCAACTGAAGGAAACGTGCATTTTTAATTGGTGATTTGAATGACCAAGCCATAAATCCTTCTTTTTTGCTGCCTGCTTCAAAATGTCCTAGTTTTGGAAGTTCCAAACACTAGTAGACAACAATGCCTAGTTGGTGGTAGTATGTTCTTCTTTCTCTTTCTAAAAAGTTTTATTTTGTGTGTTATATATACTCTGCAAGCTTTACTTAAGCCAAAAAACTAAGAAACTAAGTTCAAAATTAGATTCAGTCAAAAACATAGCTATGTGTGGGAATTTATGCACTGTCTCCCAATAAGAATTATTCCACCCCATGCATTTTTAATTCAATATCCAATTTCTAGCATTGCACAAACCTAAAATCTCAGCTGCGTTTAGGCATCCAAGAAAATATGGACACAACCCATATAAGAATTTTAAATATTCGCAATTATTCAGTGTCTCATTGTCTGAAATGTTAGAAATTTTGTGATTTTGTTCTTCCACCCCACCCCATTACACTCCCTCCCAATAAGAATATTCCTAATTTGAAAAGTATTACCTTTCTTAATACAGTATTTGGAAGCTTCCTTATTTTTTCCACATGTTCTGGGTGAACCCCCAGTTCACAGCAGCTCACTCTGAGGAGTTCTTGGTAAGTCAGTTCTTGTCGGTCCAATTCAATTTCAATGAAGTCATTCTCTTTGAGAGTACGATTTTGAATTCTGACCTTGAGAACCAGTTCTAATTTTTAAAAAAACATAGACATCCAACATATTAAGAATCAGTAACATAGGCATTAAATAATGTTAAAATTGCCCTACGGACTCCTTTTGCGAAGTCATGTTTGGGGACAGCAAGTGAGTAGCATGAAAGTCTCCAAATCAACTCTATCAACAAATATGTTCAAGTGCTAATGGAAGGTATGGCCATAACACACTATTCAGCTGTCAGAAAGCATGCCCATTATGTTCTTCAGTGGCCTGGTTACACAGTTCAGTCGTGATGGTTTATTATGTGGGTTGCAGGAGGATTTACATAACAAAACATGCCATTTTCAAAAAGATAGTAATGTTAGTTTTTTTCAATATAAGATATAGGGAAAGAAAAATGGAAAATTAAGTTATGTGATGCCTTTAAGACTGATTTATTTTAGCATGGGCTTTGGTGGATTGCAATCCATTGGTCTCGATGGCTTCATAGAACACAATAACCAAGCCACAGTGTAAATGTATATTTCAGTACATAACAGTAACGATTGCGTAATAGCTGCACCCCCATTTTTTTGGGTCCTAGTTTCAATATTTTCAAATTTCTCACATAATAATTGCATGCTTGATTTACTAGCCAGCAGCCCCCCCCCCCACTCTAAACACTCATCCACTTGCCCGCCCACCCATTCACTTACTTGGACGCCCATCCATCCACTCACCCTCTCATCCATCCACTCGCTCATCTGCCCACCTGCCCAAAGACCCAGCCAACCACTTCACTCACTTCCTCATCCACTAAGCCATCTGCTTGCCCGCCCAAAAGACTCACTCACCTACAGAGACACGCACACACTCAGTCAGATGTGGATGAGACAACAGAAAGTGGGAGGAAATCTACCCCTAGGAAGGAAAATTCACTCCTGAAATTATCATGCGGAAAAGGTGTCTCCACTGAATTACTATCACCAATCCTTGTTTCCACAACAAGCCAACATTTTCAAAAACTAGGTGTCATAGGGATAGAAAACGAGGTGAAATCTTCTGAGCAGAGACACAGACAGCAAAACAAACATTACAGGGGTGTTAACCCTTCTCTATGCTATCCAAAACTGAAAAATTGTTACATTTAAAATAGTTCCTGTTCTAATTTACATACAAATTGAACTTAAGAACAAACCTACAAAATTATCCACATACCTAAACTTACACATATATATTTAATAATTTTGTGCATGAAACAAATGTGCACAATGAGTCAACAGAAAGCAAAAGTGGACAATTTTGGAATATTTAACATGGAATAATCTTGAACTGATAATTGGACTCTATGAATCAGACTGACAAAGACAAAAAAAATAGCCTAAAAGGAATATTGCTTTTTAAATTTTCTATACTAATTACTTTGGCACCTCAAAGAGCTTATTTCTTATCAAAGGTGTCCTTGGCTCATCTCATAATTTTCACCAGACGGTACCACTACATTATATTGAATGCTTATAACTATCACGATTTGTACTTACCTTGCATATTGCTAAACGGAAATGCTCCAGTAAAGAAAAAGGGCTGAAATGTTGGAACAGGTCCTGCACCGGAGCCATGAGGTTGCTGAGTTTCCAGCTGTTTAGTAGATGCAGCTGGGGAAGAGATTGTCCTAGCGGGAGGAACAGGCATCTGGCAAACATGACCATTCTGGAGCACAGGCTCTGGGCATTCTAGACCCATGACTTTTGTTACATCCCCATCAGGCCCCACGGGGACCAAGTGGCTCTCATGTACCTTGGCAGCGCCAGGCACCTGATTTTGAGGTAAAGAAACAGGACAGTTCTCATGCTGTTCTAAAGGAGGAGAAAGTCTTCCATTCAGAGAGGAAGCCGAGGTGCTAGTAGTGCTGCTACTTGTGGAGTTATAAACATAAGGGAATGGTGGGTTAGCTAAGTAATTGGGTATAATAGGCAAGATAGAATCTTTCTTCACGTCTGGAATCTCATCAACATCTTCCACTGCAGGAGAAAGAAGACAAAGACATTCTTAATTCAACATGACTTCCAGTTGGCGAAACTGCACAGATGCTTGGCAAGTGCACAGATCATACTAGCTTTGGTATGATACATATTTTCAGTATTAAGGCCCTGACTTTGAATGTCAAAATGGACCCGTATATGCAAAATTAAATAAAATGGTTTATTACATACCTATGAATAAAAAATTAGATGTTAAAGAATATGTTCAAAATTGTACGCGCCCCTTCTAAGCTAATACAAGATTGCATTTTTTAACAAGTCAAAGCCCAACAATCCATATGTGATGCTTATTGACTTGCTTATTCCAAAATGATACATGGCCCTTTTTGCACAAAAGAACCTGAAGCAAATTGCATGGAAAAAATGTAAGAAAGGAAATTAACTTCCTTAAATGGCTATGAACCTAACACATCTAACATTACTCAAATATTCTTGATATGATAACTATTCTATTAACCAATCAATTTACCTCCCAGCATCTTTCTAATCTCCCTCTTGGATGTTAGCTGAGCTGGTTTTTCTTCTTTAACTGTGAGAATGTCTTTATCAGCACCAGCATCAAGTAGGCAGGACACCACTTGGACATGGTTCCGCTTGCAGGCCCAGTGCAAGCAAGTCCTGCACAAGGCAAACAGAAAGACTGGGTGAAAACGCCATACTGCACAGCAACACAATATTTTGCACTGCTTTTTCTGTGAAGAAGGATGCCAGCCTATTTTTTTCCTTCCACAATTACAGATTCTGATTGTGACATCTACTGGCAAAATAAATTCTTGCATTTAGAGAGCATGTAAATCACAGAGATTCAGAGTTCATCACAGTACATGTACTTCTATATTTCCATCTTTTGCAAGCAGTTCTTCAGGATCATGAATGAAAAGCCTCATTTTTATTTTAGATGCAGTCCAACAGCCAATGTAACAGCTATTCCCGAGTAAAGGATCCATTTACAATTAAGAGTATAAACAATAATAACAGCAAAAAAAAATTGCTGATATAGCCACTGTGTTATGGCAGACAAATACACTTCAATGGATGCAAAAAAAAAAAAAAGCTTTCAGTTCCCCTGCTACTTCCACCTCCCCCTACTGTACAGCTACATAGAAGATTTCTGCAGTTTACTTCCACTTTTAAAGAACTGTAGCTTAATGTTACTTACAAACCAAGAATCCTGCTATCAACTGTGTTTGGAAGCCTAGCCATGAGTAACCCGTGCAAGGCCAAACTGAGACTGCAAACAACAATGTTTCACTCAGTCTTGTGGAGAAAACTGCCTCCAACCTGAATAGGCAGCAAATTGTTGACTCTTTATTCCAGGGCTGATTCGAAATGGCGAATACTAGATTAGCTCTGGGAAGCTTTAGACTGCCACTCCATGGCTGCTACAGAGGTGGGGGGGGGGGGAGTTTTGGCCATCCCCTCCCATTCGCCTCATTACAGAAGCCAGTGAGCACAACATAATTCATGTTGGCCATTTGTCACATGGAGTGACATCAGGCAGGGTGCCAAGGCAATGCAGTGACATCAGGCAGGGTTGGAGTGACATCAGGCAGGGTGCCTGGGCGACTCTGGTTGCCTCCTCATTCTAGCTTGCCTCAATCCAGGTGATAAGCAATGGAGACGAGCCATGTTACTCCCGCTGAACAAAGCAACAAGGAAAAAGTCTGGGGTGATTGTTGAGTGCCATTCTAGTTACCCTTGCCGAACTTGCTGACCAATAGGTTAGCGGTTCAAATCCGGGGAGTGGCATGAGCTCCCGCTGTTAGCCAATCTAGCAGTTCGAAAACATGCAAATGTGAGTAGATCAGTAGGTACCGCACCAGCGGGAAGGTAACGGTGCTCCATGCAGTCATGCCAGCCACATGAACTTGGAGGTGTCTACAGACAAAACTGGCTCTTCGGCTTAGAAATGGAGATGAGCACCACCCCCCCAGTGTCGGACACAACTAGACGACATGTCAAGGGAAAACCTCTACCTTTACTACCCAGGAAATACAGGATGGTCATGTAAATAGTTGTGAATATTTCCAATTCAGAACTAACTCAACCGTTTACATGGACCCAGAGTTATGGTTTGTGCTGGATTCTTAGGAAGAATTTAGAGCATCCTATGACTTTGATTAATGTGGTTCAAGACTTGTGTTAAGGTGGCCTTGACCTGCATTAAGTCAAATCAGATCTATGTGTCGTTTAGCCACCAAAGGGATTATTTGCCCACCCTTCCGCATAAAGGATCAGTGTAGATGTGCTCATAGATACAGCTATATAGGTAGGCCTGCTGGACCGAGGAAAACATCTGCCGACCAAAACCAGAAATAAATGACCCTATTCAGCACCAACCCCATGACTTAAAGCAGGGGGCATCAATGGAGATCCTTAGCAAGTGCGAAGTCACCCAAGTGCATAGCCATTTGAAGAATGAAACATTATATCCCTCTACCTGCAAAGCCTCTTAAAGAGACGCCACATGGGAAGGATAGATTTAAAGTTTTGTTTCTCACCAAGATGAAATATTACCTAATGCCACACCACCAAAACTTGTGATAACATAAAAAAGACAGTTCAGATGAACGTAACAGAAACGGAATTGTTTCATAACAATCAAATACAACATAATCCACAATTCATATGGCAATTTAAGTCAGAATGCTTTATCAAGTGGAATACACCACAATTTATAACTCCTGAGTGGACCCTAGTGAAACATGCATTCAGTGTCAAGTGCCTGGGAAGCACCTCCCTTACTGCCTGGTGATTGGCTGCCTCTTCCTAGGCCAGAAAAACCACAAAGAAGCATGGGAAGAAGGACCCAAGATGGGGGGGTGGGGGTGGGAAATTAATCATTTTGACATATACAATACAGCTGCTTAAGGTTATGAAGAAAGAATGTAATCTAACTAAGATCTGTCAACAAATACAGAAAACAAAAGCTCACAGATTGGAAATGCTCAATTTCAGTCCCCAAGAAAAGGGACATCGTGGATTGCAGTAACCACAGGACCATTGCATTAATCTCACATGTAAGCAAAGTGATACCTGGCATCCTACAACAAAGACTTTAACCATATATGTCTAAGTTAGGTTCAAGAAAGGAAGAGGCACTAGGGATCATGCTGCAGACAAACACTGGATAATGAAACACCCCCAAGAATTTCATAAGAAAGCCAGTCTGTGTGATATATAAATTGTAGCAAAGCCTTTGATGGCAGAAATGATGAAAAACTATGGATTGGTCTTCAAGAAATTGACATGATGCAACATTTTGTTATCCTGATGCACAATCTGTATTTAGGACAACAGGTTACCATTAAGACAGAATTCCATTGATATGGCTCATATTTTTCAAACAATAATGCCCCTTTATAAGTGACCTTAAGCTTTTGTATGCTGTAAAGTTTGCTTCAATTTATAATGGTCCTATGAAGGGTCTTAAGAGGAACAACTATGGTAATTTATATTCTTAGTAAGTATGGCTAATTTATAATTACTCACAATCATTGGTAGGGGTGTATGTGTTTTTAATTCACTGTATATTTCTCAACAAGTACTTCATCTATCATTATACTGATTAGACCACAACCTCCCAGAAGCCTGCCCCTCATTAATTGCACTTATTCCCTGGCTCCATCTACACTGCTACATAATGCAGTTTGAAATGGCATGATACAGTCAGTGAAGGCCATATAACCCAGGGCCCTTCCAGGCAGGCCCTATATCCCAAGATCTTATACCAGGTTTTCTGCTTTAAACGGGATTATATGAGTCCCCACTGCCAGAAAATCTGGGATAAACAGAAAACCTTCCCAGAATAAGGAAACTCTCAGCAATATGTCCCTAAATACACTTTATCAATGATCTAGGATTGTCTGCACACCCTTTCCTCTCCGAAATTCTATCCTAGTTATATATTTCACCTGGTCATGCTCAGCATTATTTTAAAAAAAAATTAATTATTACATTTGGCCCAGCCATAGATTTTCAAGCGTTGTTGTGCTATTGTTAATGTTTACTGCTTGTTTTTTGTTTATGAGTTTCATGTTATTGTTTTGTATTGCTGTTGTTGTTTTTGCTGATGTAGTGCAAGCCGCACCGAGTCCCTTGGGGAGATGGTAGCGGGGTACAAATAAAGTATTATTATTATTATATTATAAAACCTGGGATCAGATCCTGGGATATAGGGCCTGTCTGGAAGGGCCCCAAACTGAAATCAAGACATACATTCTTCCCCTCCTGGCATTAAAGACAGGTGTGCTGAGTAGAGCAACGAGGAAGACCAAGAAGTTAAACTACCTTATAGGAGTCGACTCTGGCCATATAATCACTACGTAAGCCCTCTTTAGAAGTTAGCCATCCAAACCCGTTTTGAAAAGGGCGCCTGGCACTCTCGCTGCGGACTTCACTCGGACTTACCAGCCGTTGATTTCATTCTGGGAGTTGACATCCACCCCAGACGCCAGCAACCGCTGGACTTCCTCCAGGTCCCCCAAAGCGGCGGCTTCCCTCAGCCTCTCCTCGAGCTCCTTGTCCTCGAAGGCAGAAGAAGTCATAGTCCTTTCCAATGGCAGGGAGGCCAACCCGAGCGGGGAGTCGCTCAGCCTACTGCGGGTGAGGGGCCATCTTCCCCCCGCCCACCGGCCAGAGCGCGGTAGCAGGCCCCGGAAGGAAGGAAGGAAGGAAGGCAGGCCTCGCCCTTCAGAGTGACAGGGACATGGAGCCCTCGCCCAGCCCGGAGGGGCTCATGAACCCCCGCCCAAGGCCGTGGCCCCCTCCCCTCGCCGCCCGGCTGCGTTGCGCTGCGCCCGGCTCCCTCCGCTCCCTCCTCCCTCCGAGGGGGACGCTATTCAGTGAGACAACCGGGGCCGAGGTTTTTAGTTCCGCCGCGCGAACACTTCAGCCAATAAAGCTGCTTTGCTTCGCCCTCGCCTACAGTTTGTTTTATTTATCGTGTCAGGGGCAGACCAAACAGTTGCATTGTATTTTTAAACAAACAAACAAACAAAACACAAAGTTTGCAAGCTTGGTAGTTGATTAGATATCCTTTGACCAGTAGCTGGCCACTTGGAGTGCCTCTGGTGTTGCTGCAAGAAGGTCCTCCACTGTGCCCACAGCGACGCTTGAAAAACCTTCCACACAGCCCAATATTCCAGAATATCAAGGCAGGAAATCCCACATTATCTGAGTGTGGACTCAGATAACCCAGTTCAAAGCAGATATTGTGGGATTTTCTGCATTGATATTCTGGCATATAGGGCTGTGAGGAAGGGACCCTAGACATCCCTGTCTCAATCACTAAAAGGAAGGAAGGAAGGAAGCGTCTCCTCTTTCTATCAGGGCACAGAGGGTGCATCTATCAGGTATGGCCATGCCTGGTCTACATTGTAGAATGCATACAGTCTGACCCCACTTTAACTGTCATGGCTCAATGCTATGGGCCCTGGGAGTTGTAGTTTTACAACGTCTTGAGCTCTTCTCTGTCCAACCCAGAATATCAAAGCAGAAAATTCCCACAATATCTGCTCTGAACTAGGGGCCTCTGCACTACTGATGCTGAGGGTGATGTCATTGGCCCCAATCGTATTGCTCCCAGAGAGATGTGGGGATAAAGTAAGCACCTGGGTTTGCGACATGGCCTTGCCCATGCATTACCATCTAGATGAGACATCCTGTTTTGATTGCTGCTTAAGATGTGAGTGTTGTGAGATTGCTTATTATTTTCCAGAACTAACTGCAGCTATTCTGTCTAAGTGGCCTCAATCAGGGCCTGTATTATTATTATTATTATTATTATTATTATTATTATTATTACCCTGCTTTATCTCCCTTGATTTATTTATTTATCGTGTCAGGGGCAGACCAAAACAGTTGCATTGCATGTTTTAACAAACAAACAAACAAAACACAAAGTTTGGAAGCTTGGTGGTTGATTAAATGTCTTTTGACCAGTATCTGGCCACTTGGAGTGCCTCTGGTGTTGCTGCAAGAAGGTCCTCCATTGTGCATGTAGCAGGGCTCAGGTTGCATTGCACAGCCATGTTTTTTCTTTGTCAATTAGGCTCTCAATTTTCCCCAGGAACTGTCCATAGAGAGCCTTCTTTTGCCAGTTTTCTCTTCTGCTCTGGATTGTGTTTTTGCGGTATTCACTCTTTGTCTTTTGCACTTGAAGCAGTTTACTACTATTGACTTTCCTCAGTGTTGGTTCTTGACTGCCTTTCACATAATCTGCCAGTGCATGTTTCTCTTCCTCTCTACCATTTTTTTCACTTGCAAAAGCCCTCTGCCTCCTGATTTTCTGGGCAGGTAAAGTCTGTCGACATCACTACGCAGATGTAATGAGTAGTGGATCATCATCAGTTTTCTTGTTTTTCTGTCCAGATCATCCAGCTCTGCTTGCGTCCGGTTCACAATTCCACCAGTGTATCTAATGATGTTAATAGCCTTAGTTGTATTTTCGCCATTTAATTTGCTCTTCAAAACCTTTCTGACTCTTTAGACATATTCTTACATTATTATTATTATTATTATTATTATTATTATACTGACACAAAAGCACAGTATGTCACAGCAAACGAGATCTATAGGCTGGATTTCGTATCACAAAATCACAAGTCGAACACTTCCCAAGTGTCTAGGACTGTATGATATTATTATTATTATTATTATTATTATTATTATTATTATTAYTACTACTACTATTATTATTCTTATTTCCTTCCAAGCAAAGGCCCAGCGCGAGGCTCTAGGCCTCAGCCAGGCCTGCTCACRCACGCGCGCGCGCGCGCGCGGCGGCCACTCCAGGCCTTGACAACAAGATCCAGGGGCGGGGCCGCGCGGTGCATCTTGGGAAACGCCCTCGCTGGAGGGTGCCGCCATTTTGTCTCTGTCACCCTCGTCGGCCTCGGCGCGGCTGTTGGTGTGTCTTACGGGAGAGGGAAAGCCGTGGCGTGGCGTTGCGGGGTCGGGCGACACCATGATTTCGGCTGCCCAGCTTTTGGACGAGCTTATGGGCCGGGACAGGAACCTGGCCCCGGATGAAAAGCGCAGCAACGTGCGGTGGGACCATGAAAGCGTGAGTGTGGCGGGCGGGCGGGCGTTGGGCCTGTGAGGGTTGGTCGGGCCTGCCGCGCCTCCTCGCGCCTCCCGGCTGCAGCGAACCTGAGGGAGGGAAAGGAAGGGGGGCGGCCGAGCCGAGGGGGGCCTTCGCCTATCCGGGCTTGTACAGGAGAGCCGTTCCCCGTGGTTTGGAAGAGAGAGCTTGGCGAGGGAAGGAGGAGCGGGAAAGAGGGATGGGCCGCACTCCGCGCCTTTGGAGGCAAACAATACCGCAAGCCGCCGCGGCGTTGAGGAAGCGGGACTCAGTGGGAACAGAGACTCCACCTCGGACATCTTTTGCAGGAACAAGGGGGAGGAGGTGTCTTGTACACGAGGAGCAAGTCAAGCCTTTGAAAAGGCAGGGCAGGAAACTAGCGCGTCGTAAGGATGCTGGTTTTACAATGCTCATATTATAACGCTGAATGCTGCTGTCATTGAGATGCTGCCTCGAAACGTGGTGGAGTCATAGAATCAAAGAATTGGAAGAGACCTCATGGGCCATCCAATCCAACCCCCTGCCAAGAAGCAGGAATATTGCATTCAAATCACCCCTGAGAGATGGCCATCCAGCCTCTGTTTAAAAGCTTCCAAAGAAGGAGCCTCCACCACACTCCGGGGCAGAGAGTTCCACTGCTGAACGGCTCTCACAGTCAGGAAGTTCTTCTTCATGTTCAGATGGAACCTCCTCTCTTGTAGTTTGAAGCCATTGTTCCGCATCCTAGTCTCCAAGGAAGCAGAAAACAAGCTTGCTCCCTCCTCCCTGTGGCTTCCTCTCACATATTTATACATGGCCATCATATCTCCTCTCATCCTTCTCTTCTTCAGGCTAAACATGCTCAGCTCCTTAAGCCGCTCCTCATAGGGCTTGTTCTCCAGACCCTTGATCATTTTAGTCGCCCTCCCCTGGACACATTCCAGCTTGTCCATATCTCTCTTGAATTGTCGTGCCCAGAATTGGACACAATATTCTGGATGATCATCTGTCGGCAGTGCTTTGATTGGGTGTTCCTGCATGGCAGAATGGGCTTGGACTGGATGGCTCTTTAGGTCTCGTCCATGATCAAATTAGAGAAGTCTGAGGAGTTTGTTTCCAAAAGATACCAAACCAAAAAATTGGAAAACGAGTTATAGGTGACAGCCCATTGTTGACTAGGGGTTGAATGTTATGTTATATTATGCTGATGGTTTTCATAGTTTTTAATGATTTAATTTATGGTTATATGTGATTGCTTTCAGACTTGTAATGTTTTTATATGGATGCGAGGCATTGACTTTTTGCCACTTATGTGAACCACATTGAGTCCCCTTGGGGGTGAGAAAAGCGATACATAAATAAAATAAATAGATCAGAACTATCAAAATGGAACAAATCACTTTGGTACAGAGCTTGGAGAATTGTGTCTTATAGCAAAAGGATGCATATCGTCAACATGCTTTTCCAGTTCCTGTAACAAATGTTAAAATGGGGTTGGTACCTTTTGGAAACAAGCTCCACAAATTGAAATTCACCAAAGTGGAAGAAACAAGTATGAAATGCAATTACAGCCAAGTATTAAAACTTAGGTAAAAATCGGAAATATTTATATTGGGCTAAAGCAGGAATCGTTTTAAGAGGCAAGTTTTTAGTTTGTTTTTCATGTCGAGCGACTTGAAAAACTGCAAATCGCTTCTGGTGTGAGAGAATTGGCTGTCTGCAAGGACGCTGCCCAGGGGACACCCGAGTGTTTGATGTTTTACCATCCTTGTGTAATCAGAAAGGAATGAGTTATTATGCTGGCAAAAGGAGTTGCAAAGGCAATCAAGTATATATGCTATGGTGTGTGCCCCCACATTACATGAGATGGGTGATGGAGACAAGACTATCTTACCAAGTAGTCTCAATATGTCTTTAGAGTGCACACCTCTTTATGTGTCTTAAAACAACACCCAGAGTCTGATGTTTGAAAATAAGGTTAAAACATACACACACCTTCAAAAGTGAGCTCTATTCAGTTTTGCGGGGTTATTATTCCTTTAGGCATCCAACTCAATAGTTTGAGTTAGGAGTTTAAGCCTAACCGCACATGAGCTGAAATTCACATTGGGACATCCACATATATCAGTGTCCCTTACACAAATGTTTGGGTACGTATGGGTTGGTAGCACCTAAAGTCCCATCTGTGCCCGCCGTTAGCCCCAGCTTCTGCCAACCTAGCAGTTCAAAAACATCCAAATGTGAGTAGATGAATAGGTACCGCTCTGGTGGCAAGGTAATGGCGCTCCATGTAGTCATGCTGGCCAGATGACCTTGGAGATGTCGACGGACAATGACGGCACTTTGGCTTAGAAATGGAGATGAGCATCAACCTCCAGAGTCGGAAATGACTGGACTTAATATCAGGGGAAAACCTTTACCTTTACTATAGTCCCCTCACAACCTCTTTAACACCCCAAAGTTTCCTCTTTAAAAAATACTAATAAATAGGACACCTATTTCAATCTCCGGGTCCTCCTGCATAACTGTTCAACGTCTAGTAGAAACTGACCATAGAATCACACTGGAGGACCTACAGATTCCCAAAGAACATTTATTTATTTTATTTTATTTATTTATTTATTTATTTTATTTATTGTACAGGGCGCGGCAGCATAACTTCCTTTTTTCAAAACTTAATAAAACCCACTGTATGAATCAGGAAAAAAATATAATGTAGGTACATACCTAAAGTTTTGTTTTACATAGTTTTGAAGAT